GGTAGTTATGCCTTTTGGCCTCACCAATGCCCCGGCCACCTTTCAGGCGGCCATGACCACCGAGTTTCGCGCTGTGTTGGACCGCTTCGTTTTGGTATACTTAGACGAGATCCTCGTCTATAGCCGAACTCTAGAGGAGCATCTCGAGCACCTTCGCCATATTCTAGAGACTCTTCAGTCAGCCCGGTATAAAGCTAACCGCGACAAATGCGAGTTTGTCCGGCAAGAGCTTGAATACTTGGGTGACTTCGACGACAACGCGCGCCATTCTTTTGAGACACTCAAAGCGACACTCTTGTCCGCCGAGGTGTTACACATTTACGACCCGCTTCTAGCTACGCGCGTCACTACCAATGCGTCGGGCTATGGTATTGGGGCCGTCCTTGAGCAGCACGATGGCACATACTGGCACCTGGTCGAGTACTTTAGCAAGAAAGTACCTCCCGTGCATTCGATCGACGACGCACAGAAGAAGGAACTTCTTGCCTTCGTCCACACCCTCAAGCGTTGGCGACATTTCCTCCTTGGTCGGAAAGCACTCCGATCGGTAACGGATAACAATCCGTTGGTATTCTACAAGTCGCAAGACACGATTAACAGTACCATTGCCGTTGGATGACTTTCATCGACCAGTTTGACTTTTTCCCCGATCACATTCCCGGGAAGTCAAACCGTTTTGCGGACGACCTCTCACGGCGACCGGATCTTTGCACCGCAGTCTACTCTACCTTCGAGATCGACGACGACTTGCGGGAAAGCTTCATCCGCGACTATCAAGACGACCCCCACTTTCGTGACAAGTACGCGAATCGCTACTCTCCGAATCCAGTGCCTTCGCATTATCGGATCCAAGAGGGCTAGCTACTTGTGCATTCACGGGGTAAGGATCTTCTTTGTGTTCCGAATGATTCATACTTGCGCACACGGCTTCTTGGCGAGTTTCACGATGCGCCCACCTTCGGATATTTTGGTGTCAACCGTACACTTGGCCGACTTCGCCAGTGGTTCTATTGGCCCGACCTTCTCAAGGACGCCACCCGCTATTGTGAGTCATGCGAAGTCTGTCGGCGTTGCAAGTCACGCAACCATCGTCCGTTCGGCGAGCTACACCCATTACCAGTGCCCCTTGGGCGACGGGAAGCAATTGCTATCGATATCACCGGCCCCTTCCCGAAGCACAAGACCGGCGTTGATGGGATCCTCACGATCGTCGACCGCCTCACCAAGTACGCCATGTTTTTGCCTTGCCGCTATCACGCAAAGGCACCGGAGTTAGTCGAGGTCTTATACACCAGTTGGATTTGCTCCAAGGGCTACCCCAAGGAGACTGTTGCGACCGGGACACTCGCTTTCTCTCCGACTTTTGGGTCACCCTCGTCAAGCGATGAGGCTCATCTTTGAAGCCCAGTGCGGCTCGCCACCTGCGAACCGATGGTCAAACGGAAAGGGCGCATCAGACCGCTCAAGTCCTTCTCCGCACTCTCATCCGTCCCGACCAGGTTGATTGGGTTGAGCGCTTGCCAGACGTTGAGTTGGCTTACAACTCATCGAACCACCCGGCTATCGGGATGTCGCCATTCGAGTTTGAGCATGGTTCACCCATCTMATCGTCGTTGGACGCTACTTTGCCGCGCACAGCCGAGAGCGACGACCATTTTGCGTTCCTTCGTCGCATGCAAGAGYTTCTTGTCAAGGCACGGGATCAGATGTCGAAGACGCAAATACGGATGAGCCGTCAAGCCAACCGCAATCGCCTTCCTTGCCCGTTCCGCGCCGGCGATCTGGTTTGGGTCTCCGCAACGGAGTTCATCCTTGAGAAAGACATCTCTCGCAAGCTCCTTCCCAAGTGGATGGGGCCTTGGCGCATTCTCTCTGCAGCTGGTGATGATTCCGAGGGGCCCTCATTCCGGATCGCGGTGCCACCTCACTTGCCCGTCCACACGGTGTTCCACTGTTCCAAACTCGCTCCTTTTGTTTCAGCGGAGTCCGACGAGTTTCCCGGTCGACGTACGCAAGACCCTCCTTCCATGGACGGATTTCAGGAGGCCGGCTACATCATCACCRACCGGCGCCATGGCAACAAAGAAACAGAGTTTCTACTTCATTTTTCCTACTGCAGCCACAAGGATGACCGTTGGTTGACGCGTTCGGAACTGCAGGCCACTGCCCCCGCCGTTCTCTCACGCTATCTTAGCAAAGGGAAGAGTACGCAGAGCACTCCAACTCCTCGCCATCCTCGCTACATTCCGCCATCGGATCGGCAGCTTCGCCTGCGCCCCGGCTCGTCTTCATAAGGAGGGGGGCGTATTACATGCTGAAAGCCTACACACGGGCACCTCACGGGACCCGAGGTTGGAATAGGGCCCCCAGGTCGCGTCACCGCAACCTGAAGGCCCTATGGCATTTTTACTTGGGCCTGCATCAGAAAAA